AAAAAAAAAAAAAGAATGGTGTGTCCAGAGAAACAAAACTGGGAGCAGTCATTATGTTTGACCATATGGAAAGAATGTTTTGAGGAATTTTATAATCCTTCTGGAATATTTGGAAAGAAATAGTAATAGGTACACAGAAAACTAAGAAAAAGAAAACAAAACAAAAGGGCAAGTATAAACTCTAAGAAAAACAAAAAGGTCAATGAGAAAGTAAAGGTAATCAACATTGAATAATATTTATATAGTGATAATAATAAAAACATTAAAAATCAAGTTAACTCAAAATTGTGTCATAACTATATTGGAAGGACAGAAGATGAAGAGGAGGAGGAAATAAAACTAAATTATCAGCTATCACAATGGAAAGTCAGTAAGGTCTAAAATTAAGAAACAAATGGCAACATAGGTACATTATTTAGAAATATGGAGGTGAATACCAAAGGTAAAAATAAATACAAGTGATTATTTTACAGGAAAAGAATAGGGGCAACAAAATGGTGGATCAGAAAACTTGCTTATCTTTCTAAGTTTTTAGCTCTATTTATTTGGTAAAACATTCTGATGTGTAGGACTGATTAAAGAAAATAAATATAAAAGTTAATTAAAATAAATTTTAAAAGAGAACAATTCAGGCTACTGCAATAAAAGATTAAGTTCTGTACATGAGTTAGAATTGACTTAACAGTAATGGGGGTTGGGAGGGGATATTTAAATGTAAGCAAAAGGGACGACTGTTGCAAATCTTAGTAAGAAAATAAAATGCAAGGCTGGCTATTTATCAGAAAATACAGTCTGAATGGCTATATACGAAGGTTTATTCAGGCCTTAAACAGATTTGTCTGCATTTGTATGTATATGCCATTTGTTACAAAATTCAAACATACATAACTTTTTAAAATCCTTATTAACATATACATTGAACTACCTACATGTACATAAATAGTAAACATTCTTAAGGAAACATAATTCCAACTAAAAAGAGAGAAAGTGAAAAGGCTATGGTAAACAAAATTATAATTTCAAATGATAAAGCAATTGTGTGTTCAAAATGAAGAATCATAATTATTTCATCTCATTTTTCATTTCAAGAAGCACTTGCTTAGAAATATTTCCAAATGACTTGAGTTGAAGGTTATTTATAGAGTTTCTATTTTGTTTGTTTCTTTGCTTTTTTTCACTAAGATAGAATGTTCTACTAATAAAAACCTGAACAGTAACACTGATGGGTGTTACTGAAGGGTTATAGTGAGTGTGTACATTGGAAATCGCCTTAATGGGGAATTAGATTCTTCTGAAAGTAAAATACTCAGTTTAGATGTCATTGTTTGTCTTTCATATCAATAACATTTAGTTCAGTGGTCTCCAAAACTGGGAGTCCAAGGCAATCCACTGGGGAACAGGAAAAATATTAAAATCCCTATTTTTATATTTCTATATATCTTTTTCATTTTATTTCTAACCTAAGGCATTTGACTGCTAACCAGAAGGCTGTTCAAACCCACCAGCCACTCCTCGGAAGGAAGATTGGGCAACTGACTTCTGTAGAGATACCACTTCAGAAACCCAAAGAGGGGTCGCTATGAGTCCAGACCGACACGATGGTAGTGTATTTGGTTTTTTTGGTTTTATACATTGTTACATAGTACAGAATATTTACACAGCAATATATGTATTACCAAAAAGCCAAACTCATTGCCATCAAGTCAATACCCACTCACAGAAAATTCCATTGGGTTTCCAAGGCTATAAATCTTTACAGAAGCAGACTGCCTCATATGGAGTGGCTGGTTAGTTCTAACCACTAATCTTTTGTTTGTTGTTGTTGTTATTGTTATGTGCCATTGAGTCGGACCCAACTCATAGTGACCCATCCTTGGGTTTCTGAGGCAGTATCACTACGAAAGTAGATTGCCCCATCTTCCTTCTGAGGAGTGGCTGGTCGTTTGAACCTCCAGCCTTCTGGTTAGCAGTCAAGTGCCTTAGGCACTACACTACCAGAGCTCCCTAATATGTGTATAGAACTTATAAATAAGCATACATATATTGGCAACATATTTTCAAAAACACTTGTTACTGACAGAAAGTCATGATAAAAATTATTTGGAGATCACCAATTTAGGAATGTGTTTCCCCACTTAGAGTTAACTCACCATCGTCAAGCAGGATCCTACTCACAGCGATCCCTCCTTGGGTTTCCAAGGCAATATCACTATGGAAGTAGATTGCCCAACCTTGCTTCCAAGGAATGGCTGGTGGGTTGGTTAACCATTAATAGTCCACAAAAGTAACACAAGTGTTCATGAGGGAAGGGCAGGAGAAAGTGTGTGTGTGTGTGTCTGTGTACATGTATGTAAAAATATAAATAGATACAAAGATATATAGATACATAGATACCTGGGAGTTCTGGTGGCATAGTGCCTAAGGTACATAACTGCTAACCAGAAGGATGGCAGTTCAAACCCACCAGCCGCTCCTCAGAAGGAAGATTAAGCAATCTACTTCCATTGAGATACTGCCTCAGAAATCCAAGGAGGGGTCACTATGAGTCAGGATCGACTCGATGGCAGTAAGTTTGGTTTTTTTTTATATATATATATATATATATATATATATATATATATATATATCCTAACCTAAAATATAATTTTAAGTTATGATTGGGAATTAGACAGTAACAGATTAAAAAAAAAAAAAAACCAAGCTTCTCATTTATCAAATTATAGCCACGATTAAACCTACCTGCTACAGATGAAAATAATGTGATGAAAAAATAATGTGATGAAAACAGGATATTGATATATACAAACAGCTGGGATTTTATTATCTTTTGATATATATATTTGTCACCCATAAGACACTAAGGCTATGGTAAAATATTTCAAGACAACAAACTCATATAGAAGTCAAAAAAGCTTTCGTTGATGAAGCTGTTCCACAGAAAGGAGAGACTTGGAAACCAGTGGTTTGAGACTTTAAATACGCAAGCATCCTAAAGGTGCTTAGTATCTCATAGCAAAAAAAAAAAAAAAAAACTCACTGCCATTGAGTCGTATCCAACTCATAACGACCCCTCCTTGGGCTTCCAAGGCAGTGTCTCTACAGAAGTAGATTGCCCAGTCTTCCTTCCGAGGAGTGGCTAGCGTGTTTGAACTGCTCATAGGGGCAAAATATAACACAATCATTTAGAAATATACTCTCCAATATGGTAGCCACTAGCCACATATAACTATTTAAATTAATTAAAATTCAATTCCATAGCTGCACTAGCCACATTTCAAGTGCACGACAGCCACATGTAGATAGTGGCTAGTGTATACAACACATCATATAAAGAGCATTTCCATCAGTGTAAAAAGCTCTATAGGACAGCGTTGACCTAGAATAACATTAAAAATTCTCTAATTGAAAATGTCAAAATTTTCATACTTACTAACTGTTACTTTGTCCTTATCCCCCAACATAATGTTGTTTGGTGTCAGATCTCTATGGACTATCCTCTTCTCCTTGTGCAGGTACCGAAGAGCTAAGCACAGCTTGAAACAGCAATAAAAAGAGAGTTTTTATTTCCTCCAATCTATGTATAACCAACGATGACTACTATACATGTGTCTAAGAAATCAGCTCAGAACTTTACTATTCTATAGGAAAATTTAATGAAGAAAAATGCATACTTGTATAAATATTTTCCACAGTCTTTCTTCAGTAAAATGGTGTTGCTTTTCCTTCAAAGAACTGAAATGCTCTCCAAGAGGGGCCCCTTCTATAAGCTCCATGACTATATATAATCTGTCATCTGTATAAAAACACACAAAAAGGTAACAGACATTAAAATTCAATATACCAGAACCAGTAACAGTTGCTGGTTAGTCAATTCCAACTCATGACAACCCCACATGTGTCAAAGTAGAACTATGTTCCGCAGGATTTTCAATGGCTGATATTTTGGATGTACCACATCAAGACTTTCTTCTTGGGCATCTCTGGGTGGCCTTGAACTTCCAATCTTTTGGTCAGAAGCTAAGTGCACTAACTGTTTGCAATACCCAGGGACTCCTAAATTCAATACAGACATCATGAAATACACATTAGAATCCAAGATTCCCAACAGGGTTATGCAGCGCAACACTAAAGAATGAGAGGTGTGCTGAGATATGTACAGATCTGTTCATCCCTGGACATGGTGGGGGACAACTGAGCCTTGGGACAAATGGAGCCCATGGATAATATCTTTAGACTATAAATAACCTTTTAACATAACTTTACTGTGACAAATATTATCATTTTATACATACGACAAGATGTGTAATGGTTGAGAGGAGCCAAAGAGAACAAGCAAAGCTATGGAGGGTTTCCTGAAGAACATGTTGTTTTGGTTACTCTTAGTGCCACTCTAACAGAAAATACACCATAAATGGGATGGCTTGAACAGTTTATTCTCTTACAGTTTGGGAGGCTAGACATCTGAGTTCAAAGTACCAGGCCCCTCCACCCTGGGCTTCAGTGGGACTGAAGCTGGAGGCTTTCTTCACTCAGGCAGCTCCTAGCTGCTGAGGCTGACAAATCCAAGGTAGACAAGTGAAAGGGCACAGTCCTGATATTACCAAACTACATGGAAGGTCATTGATTCAAGTCCATTAAGAGTCCCAAGATCAAGAGACAACACGGCAGGCTGCTGAAAAAGGACTTGGCTACATGCAGGATTCAAGTGTGCCAAAAGTTGCACACCATTCCTAAAGCTTCTCCTCATATATGGGAGCAGACCACATCCCTAAGGCAGCTACTCAGCTGCTCACAGTTGATTCTACCATGTAGTTAATTACCAGACTCATCATGGGGAATACTACACCCAGTTGCCCAGCCACTCAACCAGGCCCAACCAAGTTGACACATAACCTTAAACTACCACACGTTTGTTGTTGTTAGGTCCATCTTTCCTTTCCATAATCTAAAATGTACACTTACATCAAGCCAGAGGTTGAGAGAATTGCATTTTAAGCTGCATTGTTTTAGAATCTCATAAAACAGAACTGTACACTGGAATCATGGTTGCACAATGACACTACTCATGACAAAATTTTAGTTATGTCCTTAAAGAGTAGAGAAAGCTGGATTTCTGATTTTTATCTTATGGATATTGGGAGTTTCATAACTAATGGTATCTGTCATTTTGCTTTGGATGCAAGCAGACAAAAAATTAATTTTACTTACTCCTCCAAAATGAATATGAAACTACTAGCATATGTATTCTTGATACACATCTTTTGTGAGATTTTGATATATAAACTATGTATGTGCATGTACACACATAATATTTACAAAAATAGGATAATACTATACACGTTCTGCAACTTATCCTTCTTTTGTTCAACAGCACTTTACATTAGTACACACAGATTCATACCATATTTTCTGTTGAATATATAACACTACATAATCTGGATGTATCATAATTTATATAATCATTTGCCAAAAGAGAAACATTTATATTATTCCAACTTTTCCTAATTCCAAAACATTATTTTATAATTACAAACGACCACTAGTCTGTCATTGGTCATACTGTGGTGGCTTATATGTTGCTGTGATGCTGGAAGCTATGCCACTGGTATTTCAAATGCCACCAGGGACACCCAGGGTGGACAGGTGTCAGCAGAGCTTGCATAATAAGACCAACTAGGAAAGACATAGCAGTTTACTTCTGAAAAATTTGTCCACTGAAAATCATATGAACAGCAATGGAACACTGTCAAATATAGTGCTAGAAGATGAGCCCTTCAGGTTGGAAGACACTCAAAACACACTAGGGAAGAGGTACCTTCTCAAATTAGACTTGACCTTAATGACACGGATGGAGTAATACTTTGAGGACCTTCATTTGCTGATGTGGCATGACTGAAAATGAGAAGAAACACCTGCTAGCATCCATTAATAACTGGAAGGTGGAATTTACGAAGTAAAGTATATTTACGAAAATTGGAAATTATGAAAAATAAAACGTAATGCATAAAGATTGATACCCTAGGTACTAGCAAGCTGAAATGGACTGGTGTTAGCCATTTTGAATTGCATATCATATCGTCCATTATGCTGAGAATGACAAATTGAAAGGAATGGCATCATATTCACCACCAAAAAGAAAATTTCAATATCTAGCCTAAGGCATATGACTGCTAACCAGAAGGCTGGCAGTTCAAACCCACCAGCCACTCCACAGAAGGAAGACTGGGCAATCGACTTCCGTAGTGATACTGCCTGGGAAACCCAAGTAGGGATTGCTATGAGTTGGATCCAAATCTACAGCAGTGAGTTAGATGTATGTATATATATAGAGATACTGCCTTGGAAAACCAAGGAGGGGTCACTATGAGTCAGAATCGACTCAACGACAATGGGTTTTATCTTAAAATATAATGCTGTCAGTGATATGATAACGTCCACACATCTATAAGGCAGGCCAGTTAACATGATTATCATTCAAAATTATGTAAAAACCACTAATGCCAAGATGAAGAAACTAAAGATTTTTACCAACTTCCACATCTCAACATCAAAAAGACAAACAATCCAATTAAAAAATGAGCAGAGGACATGAACAGATACTTTACCAAGGAAAATTTTCTGGTGGCCAACAAACAGGAAAAAACACTTATGGTTATTCATCATTGGTGAGATACAAATCAAAACAACGAAGAGATATCACCTTACCCGAGCAATAAAAGCAAAGTTCAAGAAGACAGAAAACAAAAAATGCTGGCAAGGATGTGAGAGACTGGAACTCTCATACACTGCTGGTAGAACTAACTGTAAAATGGTGCAACCACTGTGGAAAACAGTATAGTGCTCCTTAAAAGTTGGTCTTATTATGCAAGCTCTGCTGACACCTGTCCACCCTGGGTGTCCCTGGTGGCATTTGCAATCCCACTAGTAAGCACACACCCTAAAGAAGTAAGACCCAGGACATGAATAGATATATGCTCACCCATGTTCTCACAGCAATATTCACAATAGCAAAGAGATGGAAACAACCTAAGTGTCCACCAATGGATGAGTGGAAAAATAAACTATGGTACGTGCATGCAATGAAATACTATCCAACATTAAAAAATAATGAAGAATCCCACCAATACCTCATAACGTAGATGACCCTGAAGGACATTATGCTAAGTGAAATAAGACAATCACAAAAGGAAAAATACTCTTTGAGTCTACTATTATAAAAAGTCAAGGAAAGGTTTACACACAGAAAGAAACATTATTTGATGGTTATCAAGGATGGGAAGGGAGGGGAAGGAAAATTACTAACTAGGTAAGAGACACATATTAATTTGGGTGAAGGGAAAGATGCATAGGAACAACTATTCCAAAGGACTAGTGGACCACATGAACCTCAACTTCCATGACCCTGAGACCTATGGTTCCTGGCTATGACTGCTAACTACCCTGAAAGGAATCACAATAAGTGGTCCTGAATAGAGTGGGAGAAAAATGTAGAGCAAAACTAAAAAAAAAAAAAAAAGACCAGGTTTACTGGTCTAATAGAGACTGTTGGAATCCTGGAGACTATGGCCTTAGTGATTCCTCATGCCTGGAAATGAACTCACCCCCCAACACACCCGGCTCAACTTTCAGCCAAACAATAGACCTATGAAGTGAACAATAACACCAGGGTGTTACACATGCCTCCTTAGAACAATCAACCATACAAGATCAAAAGGGCAGCATTTGCCCAGGGATACAGGTTAGAAGGCAGGAAGGGACAGGAAAGAAGATAAGGGAAATGATAAACACTGGGAAGAAGTAGGAAGATTGCTATTACACTGTGGGAATTGCAATCAATGTCACAAAACAAAATAAGCATGAATTATTGAACGGAATACTAATTTGTTCTGTAAACTTTCATCCAAATTACAATAAAAAGGTAAAAGGCAGTATTGTTGTTAGTCACCATCCAGTTACCACTTATGGAGACACAATGTGTGAGAATGTCTCAATTGCGGTCTGGTGCTTCTTCAAACCTTTCTTCAAATGGGAGTTTTATTTTGAGATTTTAAATGTGATATGAATCATTAAGGCTTATCAAAACTTTTATTTCAGTAAAATATTCTATATTTTTTAGGCAAGTGATTAAGTTTACCTTTACCTCACAGAATTTTGCTCAATAGTCCATCATCTTTGTGAAGTTGGCCTGCATGCAGAAACAGCCAAGTCACCATCGCCACCTTGTGGCACTAACCTGAATTTCAGGTAAAAATAAATCTCAAAGACATGTAGTTTGTCTCAAGCGTTGAATCCTCCTCAGGATGACCCCACGTGTGCAGAGTATAACTTCTTCATAGAGCTTTTGAGGTTGTGACGTTTCAGAAATAGATCGCCAGCCCCGTCTCCTCTGGTACCTCTCGGTGGGTTCAAACCACCAATCTTTCCATTAGTAGTTTAGAGTTTAACTGTTTGTGCCACCCACGGACATTCTCAAAGATAAAAACTATTCCAAATTATTTTGAGTGTGGAAAATGTCATCTGATTCAACAAAATAACTTTTTTTTTAAGAACCCACCATCCTTTCAATTTTCTTTTATCCTGATCCTATGATGTGTTTTTGCATATGAAAACAGCAATGATAAATATTTTGGTTTCTTTATGTAGTGTCTTTCAATGTGGATATCTAAGCATTCTGTGACTACCTTAAGATCACTGATCATATCACTGTTTCACTGATTAAGAAAATGATGTACAAAAAGTCCACTACTGTATACTAAAAAGCGGGAAAAAATAGTTTATAAAACTTATCTTATGACATTCTAATATAAAAATGTAAAACTAAGATTATTTTCCATAATTGGAGTATGAAAACTCATACTTACTTTCCAGAAATGTTTTATAATAGCGTACAATATTCGGATGATAAAGCTATAAGGAAGAAAAGAAAAAAGAAATTACACTACTTCAAAATCCTACAAGATTTTTTCATATTTTCACAGGCTATTTAGCTGAAATTCTTATTTGAAAACAAATTTAAAAAATTATTTCTAAAACTAAGCATTCCAAAATAACATCTAATTGAGATTGTTCAGGATTCTCTGTTACTCACAAAACTAATCTGAAAATGGCTATCTGTTAAATAACTTGATCTGATAGAAGTAAAACTGATTGTGGTTTATCACCTAATTTGACCACAATAAAAATATAGAATTGGAGAACCAGAATGAGTCCTTAGAATTCATTTAGCACTCCCTGACCCAACACCACATACAGACTGCACAGAGAAGAAAACAGAAATAAAGCAATTTACCTTGAATGTTTTGTTCCTAACTATCCTCGCCACTTAAATATTTATATATACTGATTTGTATCTATTTACCCAAGCTTCCTATGCTCTCCAAAATTATTGGTACAAAACAGAAAAAATCTATGAGTTATGTTGTTTAAATTATAATAATAATTTACTTCAGGATGTGGCATAAAAATTCTTTATTAAAAAATGGTTATCTAAGAACAGATATATGCACGCCGATGTTCATCGCAGCACTATTTACAATAGCCAAAACTTGGAAACAACCTAGATGTCCAACAACTGAGGAATGGA